TGCATAGGACACATGGGCAGCACATGAAACCATTCTGCATGTTTGCCTTGGCCACATTTATGAAATCATGCACACCCATAATGAACTGTGGGGAGCGGCGGTCAGCGTTGTACATCCATTGTCGGTTCATCCGCATTACATGACATACAACACATCAAAAAAGATCCCAAATATCTGTCAATCAACATGATTACACTCTAAAACATGAATTTATTGAAGCCTACATACAATGTGCACAATCTGAAGTAGCACTAGACAAACTAATAAACCTACAATGCATTTCAGCACAAAAAGGATTTCACGACCAATTCCAACTAAAACAGACAGATCATCGATGGGCTTCTTCTGCTGGCTCACTGCCTCATCATCCACACTTGCACTCTCATCAGCATCTACCTTAACCACCTGCTTCTTCTGCTGGCTAACTGCCTCATCATCATCGACACCTGCAATCTCATCAGCCGCCTTAGCTGCCTTAGCCGCCTACTTCGCAAGATACTTTTTGACATGCGTAACATACTCTTCCTCCCAGTACCAACCGCTACATGATCCAGTGCCATCCCACTAAAATTAGAACACCAAATGAGAAGACCATTAATCAAAATCATCACGAAAATGGCTACAAAACATAAACAAACATGACAAAAAAACAACTTACATTGCGATCCGGACACATGTAGAAGATACGACCCTTGTTGGCACCCTCCTTCTTCACTCGGTACTCCAACACAATCTTCTTCTCACACTCGCCACACAGAATGAGAGGGAGGTTCGGCCTCAGTCGCTTATGAACTCCATGCAAGCCCAAGGAACCGGAAGCGGTCGCCATCTACTCACTACTCATTTTCATCAACTACTATAAATTTCTCATTTTCTAATAAGCCACCATGAAATTGGAATGAGCTATATAGCAATGAAAGGTGCATTCTAGCAAATTTGATGAACTACTATAAGCTTCCTTCATCCAAATATGCAAACTTATCAAGGCATTTTGAGCTCAAATGGCATACAAATGAAGAAAAATCCACCATTATTCCCATTCTAAAAACCACAAATTTCTCCTATTCTAGACCACGAAATGAGAAATGGCAGTGATGAAACATGAGAGGACGAAGTTGGTAAGATTTAGAATAGAAGAATGGATGGAGGAGTCGAGATGGCCAGCGATGATGAAGAACAGGAGCAGGGTCGACGACGATGAAGAACAGAGAGCTACAAAGCTCGATGGGGCTGGGGGAGGAAGAAGGATGGTATTTAGGCCGGGACCTTTAGTCCCGGTTTGTGGCTCCACCCCGGACTATAGGTCCATTAGTAGTCCCGGTTGGAGCCTCCAACCGGGAGTAAATATTTAGTCTCGCTAGCAGCTGCAACCGGGACTAGAGAATGACCTTTAGTTCTGGTTTTCGGTTTCAACCATAAACCAGGACTAAAGGTCCCTCGTCCTACAAAAGCTGTTGCCAGAGCCGTTGGGCAGGGGATTTAGTCCCGGTTGGTAGCTCAAACCGGGATTAAATCATTCTTTAGTCCTGGGCTTAAAAATGGGCGGGACTAAAGCCCTTGAACCAAAAGCCTTTTCTCTACTAGTGTCTCCTCTTTGTCTCGCCACCGCTAGAGCACGCCGTAGGGGCTCACGCGAGTGCTAGGAAGGCGACAGTGGGGCCATCTCACCCGGATTTGAGCGGATGTGACCGGATCTGGGCAACTCGGCGCTTGGCGTTCGACGGTCATTGTGTTTGGCGGCGGTGGTGGGGACGGCTAATAGCCGTCCACGCGCGCCACCAGAGCTAGTCACAGGAAGCCGATGTGGCAGCTAAGCGGCTTGGATGGTGGCGGCAAGTCTGGTTCGCCGGTTCTAGGCGAACTTGCCTTGTGTGGTCCCAGTGGTGAGGGGAAGCTCGTCGGCCTGCAGCCGACAACGCAGACGGTGTTACATGGACAGATTTAGTGTCCCTCCGCTCGGATCTATCGCTCCTACGCCTGAAGCCAGCCATTGGTGGGCGGTTGGTGGCAGGCCGCGTGGTTGGAGGCTACACGAGCAGCGCTCAGTGGTGATGGCACTAGGTGGGGCAGCAGCCGACATGTCGATCTGTTGGTGAATCTATCACCTCCGATCCGTGCTCAGTTCTACCGCGGAGGGGGCTATGCCCTGCAATGACCGTGCGGAGGTGGCACGGTGGTCGCAAGGATGCAGTACATCGATGGCATAGAGGAGGCACAGTGGTCGCGCAAAGCTCTGATCTGCTCCTGATGGGTGGATCTATGTTCCCCGTTCCATCGTCAGTGTACTAGATTGTGCGATGGTGGCTGTGGTCTATTTGCAACCATCAATGTTGGATTATCCCAGTTGTTGGCATGCTATCGATGGGAGTGGGCTTAGTGCTAGGTGAAAGCCTTTGTCTTGCTGTTGGATTGACAATGACAATGCCTTTGGGAGCTTATTTCTTGGAGGCGTCCATCACTACATTCCTCCTCTCTCGGTGTGGATCTTGTAGAAGAAATCCATGTCCATGTTCGATAGGCAGCAGCGACGTTCCTACATCATGTTCCTTTGTGAAGGCGTTGTCTTTACAGTTCTACACACGGTTTTGTAAGTGCATCCAGCCCTTTAGTGGGTTTTGGTGAATTGAAAGGTCTAACAAGTTTGCTAAGTGTCGAACAGGAAATTGAGTTTATTATCACTTGTGGATTGTGGAATGAGAAGTGTATATAGGTTCAACAAGAAGGCAAACTTGATGATATTCCACATAATGCTCAAATCAAGGCCAAAATTGTGTATTGTTATGTTGAAAGATCATGGAAACAATATAGTTCAAGAAAAAGACAATAATGCAAATGAAGTTGATGAAATGTCTTCTATGTTGTGGGATATCATAGTATCATGAGAAAGCAAGCATATTTGGCAAATGGTAAATGAGACATGAGTTGATTTTGGATTGGTCTCAATAATGGCTTGCTTTGCATGAACAAGAAGAGTTTGATAATGGATTAGTTTTGACCAAGGATTGAAGAATGAGTCAAGAATGCATAAGTGAAGAAATACCAAGCAAAGGTTAAATGACAAAAGACACAACTCATATTGGATATAAGTCGATCTCTATGTTGGTTTGCTTGTATGGATAAAGATTTGAAAAATCACTTTGCATTGATTTGAAAGCTGGAAGTATGAACATAGATATTAAAGTGAGTGTTAGGAGTATCAAGCCAAAATGAAGAAGATATAAGGAATTGTGAATTGGCTTGACCATATTGATTCTAATACATATATCTCAATCTATGTGAATCCAACTGAAGCTTGATTGATCTCAACATTCATGTGTAGAAGATAATCAAGCAAGGATCCGCACGGTGGTGGCTGTCAGAACGGTGACCCACAGTTCAAATACAGACCAACGAGATGCATGTACGGTTCTACCCACTACGGGATGTGATCCACGACGAAGGCATTGACTTAGAGGCCATCTAGACCGGCGAGAGCCACGATCACAACGGTTGGGATCATGGCTCTCAGCTCCTCAAGCCAACAAGATGATTGATGACTTAGGGGCGGCTACCAACTTCTATACGACGCCCTAGAAACCAGGAGGTGATCACGAAGACCACGGCGGAGACCACTCGCACAGGACGGTTGACGAAACACCACCGTGCCTACAGTGCCGCCACAGTTGGCATAGTGGCTCCACGTCACACCATGCCACTACATGGCCACAAGACCATGATGACAACCACACCCAGACGTGCCCCACAAGACGGCTTAGCTTGCAAGCCAAGTTAGCTAGGTCCTCCCTCAGGCTCATGACCCTTCGGTCGGGAGAACCTTCTTCTTTATACACGCCCTGGCCCTGAACTCTATATATGGGCAGCTAGGGCACCCATCTTGGGCATCCAACTCTCATTCACTCATTCTTATACCATAGAAGGGCTCCTCAAGCTTCCCTTCGGGCAGCCCGCCTCCTAGCTTTAGATCTCCTACTTCCTCCACCATTCTTACACCCCCATTGTAAGAACTTCAGAGCATTCAAGCGAGGAACACGCACTGGATCATCTCTGAGACCGGACGTAGGGCTCCGGTCTGAACCAGTATAAATCCTCGTGCCTTTTGGATGCTACCATCGTCTTCCTAGAGGAGCACGGCAATCGTATAAATTTACTAACCCGGTTAACAAAACACCGACAGAACTACTCTGCAAAGTTTGAGATTTTTTTGAGCTCGTTAGATTTTTGTAGGAGGAATTTCTGCTGAAATCTACGCAAACCAGCCTAGGCCGGTTTGCAAACTAGCTCGGGCTGGTTTTTCGACTTGCTCCGATTGAGCTCATTTTCTGTGGAAATCTTCTCATGTTCTAGGCTCCCCCACCAAGCTTCAAGTCCATTTGAAATTGTCTGATTGGTTTTTGACTTTTTTCTTCTCGGTGGGATGAAATATGAAAATCAGCCTGAGCTGGTTCTGGGGAAACCAGCCTAGGCCGGTTTCCAACCATCTCCATCACAGATGATTTGTTGTGGAGATGTTTGTCACAATGTCTTAAAATGTTCTCCACAAATTTTCGGGTCTTTTGGTCAGTTTTTTGTGTTTCGAGCGCTTGGTTGGGCGGTGTTGGGACAGTGGCCGAAATTGAAAGAAAATTGGATTAGGCTCCCATTCAACACAACCCCCTGGTCGCCTTGCTGGGTCCTTCACGCTTGAAGCTCCTAGCGTCACCTGAAAGACAAGACAAAGGCACGGAAACAAGCTAAGGAGCAACGCCACCTAATGCGTGCGCAGAGTGACAAGCCGAAAGGTCAACCCCAACATAATCCATCGAACGGGATAAAGACAAATTGTCTTAAAACATAAATTATCATAGAAAGTATCCAAATTTGTCTTAAACTATTACAACTTGAGTTCTCGCCCCAACAAAGCATAACTGCAACCTATAAATAAAGCAACAAATGCGAATAATCCACAAACAAATATTATGATCTAGCTGCACTGCTGCATCTTTTGTTGCTACAAGCTGATGCTAGCCGCTCATGTTCTTCTTGCTAATGACCACCTCAAGCATAGACTGGAGAGTCTCAAGCTTTACTGGTTTGGGCACAAACACATCAGCACCAGCTTGCATGAATGCCTCCTGGGCACCGAAATCTGCAGAGACCCCAATGATCTTCACCTCAGTAGCTCCCATGGTACGGATCTTGGCCACAGCCTGCCAAATGATCCACCAACAAATTAAATTTTTGTCAGTTATGAGTCTTACTTTTGATGATTCTTAAGTTTACATTGTATTACTGGGGCAATCAAAAGTCTACCGTAAAAAATAACTGAATTGGTTCGCTAGCTTCATATACGCTACAAGTTTTTTGTTATACTTTCTGTAACAAAATACAACAAGTGAATAATTGATAAATAATACTAGTAAGTTGAACTGCTGGAAGATTTTTTTTCTATAACTTCTTGAGAAACTTGTGAATAATGTTCAGGAAAAAATAACAGGAAATAAATATAAAACTACTAATATTATCCAGTTGAAATATATATATATACCTCAGGGCCCGACATTATGGGCATATCCTTACCGGAGAAAACAATGTCGAATGTTTTCCTTTCAAGGAAAAGGTCAACAGCTTCTTTCCCATTCTCAACAGCAGTAGCCTCGCAGTTAAGTTTGTGCAACATATGCATGAGAATCAGACAATCAACTTTGATATCCTCCACAACTAATGCCCTTGGGGCAGACCCTTGGTTCCTGGATGCCATGAAGATGCTGCAAACAAAATAAGGAAATCAATTTTAATACTACTCTTCATTTCCTGATACTATCAAGAAGATTAAGCAAAATCATAATATTCTCTACTTAATTACAGCATCGTACATGTATTAACGGCAAAACATGTTTATGTTTTACAGTAGATTAGAATGAGACATATATATAGACTATTACAGTAGTCCACAGAACAATGGCGAAGACAACAATGACTGCAGATTAGAATGAATGACATGTATGTAGATTAACAGCTCCGACTCCTACTTCTCGATCCGAGTACTATAGTGACATGCTATTTTTCTCTCTTCTCCTAAAATGAAATAGGGACCAATAAAACCGCAATTTTTAGATTCGCCGGCTCCTTGAGCCATGCCATACAAGGCTTGATACTGCAGTATACTAGGTACGTGTCTAGACGAACTGTACTATATTCTAGAGAAAATATAAAAACAAAGAGAATGAATTCAGGACCAACCTTGACTTGAGATGATGATGATGCACACGTATCTTTCTTTTCTTGGTACTCGGCTGTCTCTTTGAGTGCTGCATATCACAGTCGCAGGCCCATTTTATAGGCGAAGCCAAGGCTGCCCAAATCTGAAAGATTTTCATGTAACTGCTTGAAAATAAATGAGAATTGGAAATCTGATATGCTCGATTATTTCGCTCCTTGTTCCAGATCAAAATGCAAGATCTCACGCCCCTTGGGAACTAACACATGTATATATGGCGTGTAGCTATTGATGAATTCACTCCTGGTCGTCGCATTTGAATCCGCCATGGCGATGAGCAGGCCGCTGGCGCATGAATCAAGCTATAGCCATTCTTCATTTGGCTCCAGTTTTGGATGAACCTGGGGAGATTTTTTCATTAAAATTTTGACTGGATTTGTGAAGAAAATGACCGCTGGGATTTCAAGCATATCACAAGAGATTTTTTTTTGCAAAGATGCAGATTTGGAGAGTGCCCTGGGACGATCTGCATCTTGCATATACGTGTTGTTATCCAGGCAAATCCAGCAGGATGGTGCCTGGCATCCTAAATTTTGTTTGGTTTGATTCTTTGCCTGGCCTTATCTTCTCGTTAGGTAGTACACACAGATAACTGGTTACCACTAACTACTCCAGACAAGCACATCACTGTCGATTTAAAACCCCCTTTCTCTGTCGAATTTTGAACCGACAGTGGCATACCGACAGTGATGGGAGGTTGACATCACTATCGGTTACCCAAAACCAACAGTGATCTACAAGCAAGAGTTTTGGTTCCAGGCGCCACCCGGCAGTGTCCAGTTGAACCAACACTGCCGATTTATAGCCCCAACCGACAGTGATGGTCAAAGCAACACTATCGGCTGATGGCTTAAGCCGGCAGTGTTGAGCAAGCCAACACTATCGGTTGGTGCCCCAAGCCGGCAGTGTTGATCAAGCCAACACTGTTGGTTGGTGGCTCAAGCCGGCTGTGTTGGTCGAGCCATCACTGCCGGCTGGTGCCTCAAGCCGGTAGTGTTGGTGAAGGCAACAGTACCGGCTGGTAGGTCAAGCCGGCAGTGATGGCTTCAACAACACTGTCGGTTTGCATGTCAAACCGACAGTGATGGCTCGACCAACACTGCTGGCTCGTGGCTCAATCCAGCAGTGCTCTCTTTACCATCATTGCCGGTTTTGTGCTAACTGACAGTGATCTCTTTTCGCATTTTATTGTTTTATAATTTATTTTATTTTTTCATGGAATTGGATTTTGCTTTATATTCGCTATGTAGACGACAGGTCCATCAACACTAAACATTACAAATGTTACGGTTACCATTCAAATATACTTATCAAGATCTCGATCCCTCAAAATAAAAAAAAATTACAATAGTCTAGCGAGCTACTCTGTCCGGTACTGGTCCTTGTACTTCACGGACTGTGCAATGGAGAACGTTCCATTAAATTCCAATATCTCAGATAGGATGAAGGCTGCTAGCTCTGATGACAGTGCTAAGATCTCCATGTCTAACAACCTCTGGTGTTTAAATTTCTTGCGCTGTCATTCAAAAAACACGATATTGAAATGCACAAATGTAAGGGATAACAGTAGATCGTTTTGTTGAATTAATAGATATAATAAAATGGGGATTATACACACCAAAACATCTGCCTGCTCTGATTTTACTCCAAGGTAGCGAAGCATTGCCCACATTACATAGAACCCGCATTCATTGTTTTCCGACAGCTAGTTTAGGGTCTCCAATTACATTGGTGCAACCTAGAATAGGACCTTCGTCCCTCCGATCATTCTTCCCTGTACACTGTGCCATATCATAAAGTGTGATAAAAGAGGCAACATTAGAATGTTCTATGTGCAATTATAAAATATTATGTCACTAGGTTCACTTACTCATTCAGCACTTTGATTAGGGGATCGAGCAAAGAAAGTTCATTTTTCCTCGAATCCCACATCTCGATACAATTTTTTTGAATATTGATAACAATGAAGACGAAATGGTTGCTGCAATCACAAAATCCTAGTTATTAATGAATAATCGTAACTAAAAAAGAAGCATAAAAATAAGAGCAGAGAACACATACTTGCAGTTGTAAGCCAGAAGTATTTTGGTTTTATTATTCATCTTGAAAGCTTCGAAAATGGCAACCAATGTTACCGTCGGATCTTCCACTTTAAAGCATGGTTTAGGGTCTCCAAGAGCAGAGAACACATGGATTAATTTGCTTATCAAAATTGTAAAAAATCTACTCTACTCCTAACAAGAACTAATTATAGCATCACACACTGACAATCATCTTGACCTCCATGTAATTAGCTAGGAATTGAAATAGGTTCATAGACACCAACCTTTTGGACGATGGATTCTCCACAATTTGCTTAGATGCCTTGCACAAAGTCCAATTGGAAAGTGCTCTCTAGAATTGAGAAAGAACTGGAATGAGAATGAAGCAATGTAGCCATGAAAACAACGATAATTAAGCAACAAAATCAAAGGAGTGGATACTTGTTACTCACCTTAAAGCAAAAAGATCAAGCCATTCTTCAAAATCCAAGAGCTAGCTTCATGGTGAAGATTAGCCGCAACAATGGAGGATGGCGCTAGCTTTTTGTACTGTCATTTTATCACCGTCGGTTCTTGGCTAGAACCGACAGTGATAGCCCAAAATCACTGACGGTTCTTGGCTAGAACCGACAGTGATAAGTGGCCGTCAACCCACTGCCAATGTCAACCACAAACCGGCAGTGATAGCCCCAATTATTTTCTGATTTTTAAGCTCAGAACCGCAGTAAAGGTACATCATTGCTGGTTCACCCAATTTCGACAGTGATGAGGCCGGCAGTGATGTCCAATTCTGTAGTAGTGACTCTTGGAGAAAATAACAACTGGTTTGCCAAATATTAGAGCGGGACAAGGAAATTACAAATGCACTTATGTTGGTGATACTCAATCCAAACGATTTATGTACAGAAATATTCAAATACACATCTAGAAATGTCGTTTTCACTATTCATTTAGGCCTTCTGACCAAAAAAGATATTCAAAATACATTCACGTTAAGAAAAGGTGCCGACAGCTTAAAGTGACTGAGCATAGCTTAACTCACAAGATTCCTAGGGATAGCAATCTTTACCCACGGGTGCGGTTACCCACGGGTTTCGTACTCAATGATATGGGTACTTGCACGAATGGTCGTTGTTTGCATTGGGAACACCAAATATTATTAGTGTGTGCGTATATATCTCAATTATTAAGTCTCTGGGTACTTAAATAATAGGGGAAAACTGGAAATCAAGATATATTACCACTGATCCGTGTTGGACGTAGCTTTATTTCATGGTAGCAGCGTAGAGTATGATCGGGTGCCGAGAACAAAGTAACACCCAAGCACCTACCTCGATGCGGTTCTTCACGAGCCGCAGGCGCCGAGGACGTCACCGCTCCCTGAGAGAGATCAACCGCGCTCCATCATCGTTGTTAGCATTTGCGGCCGTGCAGCTGGTCAGGCGTGCGCCGGCTGTCAGGGCAAGCGCAACAACCATCGCCGGCCACGCCCGCGACTCATTCACGGACTTCCCATCCGTGGCAAGGAAGCGGCAGCCGGACAGGATCGAGAGCGGCGTGTACCAGTTCACATGCGGCTCGGTCCCGCTCCGGCGCCTGCCAGCGCATCTCTGCTCCGGATGCTGACGGTTGGCATAAGGTCCTGTCGCAGGGGTCGTCATGCGGCACCAACGGGGCACGCCCCGCCCGCCCTGCATATTCGACGAACTGTCGGCCCCCTACCCACTATCCGGCAGACCTGCACGGGAAGTGCTTCAACTGTCTCTCAACCGAGCACAGGGTAGCAGCGTGGAGGCAGACAACCAGCCGGCTGCCTCCACGTTGCCTTCGATGCAAGGGGTTCCGACACCTCGCACGGGACTGCAAGCAGCGGCGGATGGTGCATCCTTCTGTTTTTGGCACATCCGGTGCCACAGAAGGCCGGCCACGACGACCTGACCAGGAGCGTAGCTCGGGCACTCGGCCACCCACTTGACACTCTGCCCAGGGTCGCCGTGACCCCTCACGCACTCAGGGCGACTCGCTGAGCTCGGCTGGAGCTCCGCTGAGTCGAGCGCGGCTGGGCGCGACAATGGTGGGCGTCGACGTCGGAGACATCAGCAACGGCTGAGGGGGGACAACGCCCACCATTGTCGCCGCTGAGGGGGGCAACGGCTGAGGGCCCGCCACTTAAGGCATGAATAATCTTGAAGAGGTTTGCTGGCTGGTTAAATCTAATTTATAGTTCACCATTTTGGCTGTAACGATCCGGTCGATCCCCACTGATGACACTGTAGATTGGAGGATGCCAGTTAGTAGATCTGTTCCTGGTTAGGCGTGACCTTAGCTGTTTACTATGCCTACATCAGCTAAATAGTCGATCGCCTGTGCGTTAACGCCTACTGCGTGCGTCCATGATTTCGTTAAGCGTGGATAGATCTGTGTACTTTAAGGGTTTGA